TGAATGGGGAAGGAGGGGGAAGGAGAGGGGGAAAGTAAAAACAGGATTCCACAGCCACAGCTACCTTCACTGACTTCTTTTTCTAGACCATTCCCAACATGAGAAAGGCCCTGTCTCGAGGAAGAGGAAGTGGGAAATATCTTTTAAAAGCCCGATGTTATTTATATAGCTTCAGAATTTTTTTTTTTTAACACGAAACTGCTGGCAGAAGTTCAGCATGTAAGGAAAGACTGTACAGAGATGTCTGAAGAAAGTCTTGGGCTGGATGAAGCTGGCCCTCCAAAGTTCTCCAGAGAAGAGAACCCAGTAGAGGCCGAGGGTCGAGTAAATCACCAGCCCCAGCTCTTCCCTTCTGCTTTTCCTGGAGCCTATGACTCACCAGAGGCTCTTTCAGCCCCTCTCACCTGAAGACCACCAGATGCCCCTCCCTGCCCCCACATTCATATTTTAGCTCTAGTCATCACAGCCTTTGTCAGTGCCTGTGGACAGGGTGACCTGCTCATTATAGCCTTTAGCCCTTGCAGGCTTCCCTGTGTCTCAGAATCGCCAGAGAACCTGAGCTTCCCCAGGTGTCTGTGGCCACCTTAGCCAGGGGGTGGCAAACAGAACCGAGACCAGCTCACACACCATAGCCTAGAAAACACCCCACACCTAGGGAGTTCCTGGATTATTTTTGCAACTTTTCTGTAAGTATAAGGTTATTTTAAGATAAAAAGATTTTTTAAAAAGAACTCACATATAAATATCCAGCTCACACACCATAGCCTAGAAAACACCCCACACCTAGGGAGTTCCTGGATTATTTTTGCAACTTTTCTGTAAGTATAAGGTTATTTTATGATAAAAAGATTTTTTAAAAAGAACTCACATATAAATATCCATGTGCTAATACCCAGGAGTGATAATAATTTGTACTTTTCTAAACTCTTGTTAAGACTGTACTAAGAAATCTATAACAGCACATGTTACATTAGATAAAAATCAGCTTACTCAGACCCATAAACTGTGGTATTTTGTGTGCTGGTTTTGGTTTTTTTCTTTGAGTACTAGGAACTGAACTGAGGGTCTCACCAAGCTCTTTCATCTTCAATGTATTGTTTATTTTAAAAACCAAAAAGTTAACAATAAACCTTTTGTTTTATTGAGACAAAGTCTCAAACTTGCTACATGGCCTAAACTGGCCTTGAATTCTTAATCTTCCTGCCTCAGCCTCCCAAGTGCTGGTGTGACTGGCATGCATCACCACACCTAGTTTTACAACTCTTTATATAATCACCTGGCTTTACAACTCTTTATATAATCACTTCTGTCACTAATTTATTCTAGATATTGAGGAAGGGGAGTTATCTATCACACTATCTACGTGATGAGACCGTTCCCTTGAGCCACGGCTTGCTATGCAGTTCAGGCTGGCCTTGAGCAGATGATCCTCCTGCCTCAGTCTCCCCAGAGCTCAGATCACAAGTACACATCACCTGGTCTGTGATGAGACATTTTTAAGAGCAATGGGATATTATATCCCCTGGTCTAAGTAGAACAAAAAACAAGGAAGAGTCCAAAGGAAACTTGATGGGAAAACATGGCTTTCCACACCAGGACAGGAGTCTCAGCTCCCCACAGAACCTGACCTGTGGTAGATGGGAGTGTGGACTGGGCAGGCAAATCCCTTTCTCTCTCTTGTGGACTACTGCTAGAGTGGGACCTGCATAATCCTCCCTAGAGGGTCCACTGACCCCCCCCCCTGCCTGTGCTCGTCACAGTTTGGTATACAGCATCAGTCAGCATAATGACCATCCTTGGGGGACAGGATAGAGACCCTCGCAAAGCCCAGGCTGATGACAAGAGAGGAACCCAACCATACTTGTTGCTCTCCACATCCATCATGGGAACCACAAACAGAATGCAAGCCTTAATTGTGTTAAGCTGCTGACAAAGTGGATTCATTTTTTAATTTTATTTTTTATTTTGTTGTGTATGTGCTTTGGTTACATGTACGCAAGTGCATCCATGTGTGCAATGTCCATAGAGGCCAAGAGGGCATCAGATCCCTTGGAACCGGAGTTGAGGACAGATGTTAGCTGTCATGTGGGTGTTGAAAACCGAACCCAGCTCTTCTGTAAGAGCAGCCATCGCTGCTCTTAATCACTGAGCCATCGCTCCAGTCCCTAGAAAATACATTTTAAAAGCCATTTTTATGGATGCACTATGGATTTCCTTGTAGCCACTAAAAGCATGAGACAAGAAGCCCACAACACAAGGTTACATAAAGTAAGCAGTATACATGGAGTGTATCAAAGCCGAACACCCTCTTTGGCCAGGAAGAAATGCCAGTGCTCACAAGGAAAAATAACTTGCACAGTACATGAATTTGTACCACAAATATGAAAGAATTAGTGATGGACAGCAAGTATCCCAAAGACCCTGCTTGTTAAAAATTATAAATGAAAGAAAGAGCAGTGACAATTTCTACAAAGACATGGAGGGATAATAAAATCCACCGGACTCCAATAGTTAATGAAACAGAATAAACGGTAACAAGCATAGACAGCAGCAGGGAATTTATTTTTAGCTCCAACATGAGAAAGCGTCATTAAAAGCACAATCAAAGCCAGCAAAGCTGCCAAAACAACTGAAAAGCTGCCATCACTGGAGAGATTCAAGATTCCATCAAAGGACACCAGGCAAGACCAGCCCAAGGATAGCCAGGCCAGACCTTTGAGGTTAGTAGGATTGATGACCATAAGACCCTGGAGCTGTCGCAGCTGTCAACCACACGCTCTCTCCAAGACTCCATTATAAAAACATTCACCTGAAATTGTTAGCCAAAATGAAAACCTTCCCAGAAGTATAAAGATGCTACCCATGGAGTATTCTGAAGAATTATGAACCTAGGGAACAAGGTGATACACGCCTTTACTCCAAGCACTCGGAAGGCAGAGGCAGGTAAGGTAAATCTCTGTAAGATGAAGGCTAGCCTGACCTATATTGCATACAAAAGAGGATTAATACCAAGAATATGCAAAAAACAAAGAAATAAGAAAATAAATGACGCAGTGATCTAAAAAAAAAAAAAAAAAAAAAAAAAGAATTATGAATCTAGGCCTGTTAGTATGGCTCAGTGGTAGAACACATACTTAGTATGCACGAAGGCCCCGAGTTCCACTCTTGGAACCATAATAATACATAAATACACTCAGGTATACGATTTATTCATATACTCTGAGGTATCCATAACCTCTAGTAGCTGAATCTTAGGAAAATAAACTTTTCCTAATTATTAGAAACTGATCAGCTGAAAACTTTCTGTTTCTATTTTCCTTTAACATAGTAACTAGGCAAACTACAACAGTCAGTTGGGCAGAGTACCAAATTTCATCAAAAGCAGTCAGCCCACTAGAGCAGGTAAGCAAACAATGCTCTGTTGAGATCATACAGAAGTCTCTCCTGAGTGGCACTATATAATCTAATAGAAAGAGCAGGTCATAGAAAGCCATGATCCCCCTGGCAAAGAGTTATCAATGCACAGAGAGGCAGCTGAAGAATGATGGATGGTGCCAATAGTGGAAATGCTTGGGTAGATAATTTTGCTTTCAACTCTATGGTTTTTGTGTGATCTTTCTATTAAACAAACATACATAAAACTTGGGACCCAGATTGTTGAATTCAAATGTCAACTTTTAGGCCTTATTAGCTGTGTGATTATGAGCTACATCCTTAACCTTTCTGCAATTCAATGATCTCCCTTGTAAATGAGGATAAACACTGGTACCTCACAGTGCTTTTGAGAAAGCACACACAAGGCACTTGGGGCAGTGTCTGGAACAGAGAGTCACAGGAAGCATCAGCTGGTATTGGAAGCAGTGATGTTGCTAATGCTGAGCCAGTTGCCTGTAGAACCGATTATCCTCAGTAAAAGCAGCTGCAAAAGCAACTGCTTCATGGTCAAGGAAAAAGGAGAGCAAGCAAGTCTCTTTGTTTCGGTTTATATAACAATCCAGAAACAACAAAACAAAACAAAGACATTTATCAGATCAACTACAAAGAAACCCAGGTAAGTAAAGAGATGAGAGCACTAAGCAGGCTGGTCCCTTGGACTCTGCCACCTGGCTTTGGGAGTATGCGGGCACAGTAGACCATCAGGTTAGAGAAGGGCCCGGGTATGCATTTCACCGACACAAAAGCCTCTGCTCTCAATTTAGCAGCAAAAGAAATGAGGGTCTAATGAGGTTAGCCTTTGTGGGCTGAAGACTCATTCTATTTTTAAAAGATTCTTTAAAATGCCTTAACCTACAAATGCTACAACTTTAGTTTTAAAAGGAAGACTATGGGGCTAGAGAGATGGCTCAGCAGTTAAGAGTACTGGCTGCTCTTCCAGAAGACTGGGGTTCAGTTTCCAGCACCTACATGGCAGCTAACAAGCATCAATAACTCCAGTTCCAGGGGATTCAATACCCTCTTCTTGTCTTTGTGGGCACTGTATGCACATGGTAAACTTACAGACAAGCAAAACACACACATAAAATAATTAGAAAGGGATTATATAAGTACTGAATTCATAAGACTCAGATGATGAAAATTATGGATTATTCTATATACTGCATCCTTCCATTGAGAGAAGACAATAAACAGAAACTTTTTTAGAGGCACACAATAAACAAGACCATTAAGTGAATGAAATCCTGTATCAGAAGCCAATGAGGGCCACAAAGAAGACGCAGCAAGGGGTGAATGCATTGGGATAGACAGAAACTGACACTGTAAACGGGGCAGGGGGAGGTGGATCTGAGCTTGGATCAGACAAAGATGAATCTGACTCCATAATGATGAGCTCACGTAAGTCTCGTTTTCATATAGCTGAAAAGTTCATTTCCTTTCAGCATCAATCACCCCAAGGTGAGTTTCTGTTCCTCTCAATCAACAAATCCTTGCCTTACACAAGGAAGCCTTCAGAAGCCGAGCTCCATTTTGTCCCTAGAAAGCCCGAAGCAGTATGTACTCACCCGTTCCTGGCCAGCAGTGTCCCAGATGAGGAACTTGTGAAGTTCATTTCCACAAGGCACAGTTTTGGTCATAAAAGATGCCCTGAAAAGAGAGGCAACACCCCTACATTACCTAATTCTCCACAGAGATTCCTGAGTCCAACAAGTTAATGTTATACCTCGAGAGGACCCCTAAGAAGCAGGAATGAGTATGTCATCCAAAGAAAACACTCTGCATTTTATACAAGCCAACAACCAACTGGAGTTTCAAAACAAAATGAAAAGAAATGCACACCTAGAGTAACATTCTCCAGATCTCCTGGGAAGTGTTTAATATCTAACTTTAAATATTAAAGCCTTAGTATTATAACAAGAGTGGAGAGGGGAAAGTGATTCATATTTTAGTGTTTAAGGTTTGACTTCATTGCAGCCTAAAAAGAAAGCAGTCCTAACATATTTACCTGTACTAGTATGAATCCAACACTACAAGCTACATCCAAATCTCGCTCTGCCTACATGAATTCAGGAATAAATACTGCTAATAACATACACATGTGCGGTGATATATGATGATCCTTCCCTCAACCATTTTCCATCTTTTAAACCTTTCCAACAGGCTAGGTAGAAAATGACATCTCATCTCTGTTTTATTACACTCTCTTGTACAGTTATTTTGCCCAATTTCAAACATGCCTCCTGGAAGAAGGAAAGAGGCTCATTAAGACTCAGGAAGTGAACAAACTTACAAGGCCCAGGAAGATCATGAAAGTTACAAGATTCCCAAGGTGACCAGGAAGATGGCTCAGGTGAATGGTAAAAGTGTATGTCATGGAGCATGAAAATCCGAGTTTGACCTCCGGACTCTCATGGTAGAAGGAGAGAACCAAATCCTACAAATTGTCCTCTGACTTCTACATGCACACTGTGACACTATACACTCCCCCACAAAAATAAATAATTTTTAAATAATGGAATAAAACAAGATTCACAAGGGAACTAGTGCTGTAGAGAAGAGAGTCTCCTACTTATAAGAGCTGCCTGCTATTTGGAGGAAAAGCCAACCTTCCTGGTAGATCCATGGTATTAACAGTCAAGGAAATGGTCTTGGACTACAACAAAAAGGGTAGGCTAGGAAAAAAAAAAGCCAGAAAAATAGGCCTAAGTTTCTAGAGCCGGGATTGATTCTCACTGGTGGGGATGGAACCTTTTCCCTGCCAAAGACTGAGCCACAAAGTGATCTCCCTGGTTCCCTAAAGGGAAGGGATGTCAGAGGAAGGAACACACCGGAACTTACCCAATAGTGGGGCTGATGTTGTGGTCAAAGTGGTCCTGGACAAACCGACACACGATGCTAGATTTCCCAACCCCAGTGTCCTGGAAGAAAATGAAGACAGAGCCATGAGGTCCACCAACTCTGACCTGGTAAGAACATGTGACCAGAGGACTCACTGGCCATTTTTGGCTGACGGAACTGAGGGAGCAGAAGAAGGATATTTTCTTCTATTTCCTACTAGGATTTTCTAGAACAAAAATGTATTTCTTTCATAGAAAACAAGTATAGTGAAAATAAGTTTAGAAACATGCCCCACATACACACAACAGTTAACATGTTCATAATACATATGATTTCAGAATTGGGAAACTGAGGAAGGGTCTAGAGAAGATATATGGCAACCTAACATGTTTTATTAGAAGAATGGATTTTGTTCAAAGCCACATTAAAATTTTTAAGTTTATTTTTATTTTATTTTATGTGTATGGGTGTTTGCATGCAAGTGCACCCATGTGTGCAATGCCAAAGGCATCCAGAAAAGAGCATCAGATCCCCTGGAACTGTAGTTATGAACAGCTGTTAGCTGCCATGTGGGTGCGGAGAACCAAACTTGGGGCCTCTGCAAGAGTAGCAAGTGCTCTATTATAATGGCTGAGCCATCTCTCCAGCTTCTTCAAAATCACCTTAGCAGAATAATATGCATCTCTAGGTGGCACCTTGGAAGACCTCTGAATTCTAATTTCTAATGCTTTCTCTTTGGAATCAATGGCTGGATATCAACCTCCAGTTTTGCTTAATTCAGATCTTTCTCCATCAAACAAGTCTTTAAAGCTGATTAAGACAGGGATCCCTTTACACACTGGAAATCAAGTGCAGACGTCTGTCTCCACTTCCTTTCTAAGTCTTTGCAAAGTGGTTTAAGAAATAAAAGCCACAAATTCACAAGGTCAAAGAGACAAACCCAGACAAGTGATACCAACAAAGTCCAGAAAGACAGTCAGAGCCCGAGAAGGACTCAGCTGAAATACAGCAGGGGTGGGGGTGGAGGGGGTGACGGCAAGTCGGTTTATGTCTGAGAATCTCAGAAAACAGCAGAGCCAGAGGGCAATGCTGGGGTAAGGGTCACTGAGCGGCCATCACTGACCACCTGGAGCCCCAAGGCAAGAACAGTAAAGACTGTACTCTGGGAAGATAGGGAGGATTACCTTCTAGGAAACCAGGACTTGGGGACGTCAGGCACAGCTAAGGAAGAGGCCAGTTGCTGGTCCCTGGAGCTATATAAGCATAAATAGAAATAGCAAGAGCTCCCCTCTGAGTAGAGGAAAAAGCCCCACATGTAGATACTGGAGTCCCCCACTAAAGGGCATCATGTGTTCAGTTGACAAGCCCTAGAGCTTTCAATTTACTTTCTAGTCTTTTACAAAATAAACACTTGGGCTGGAGAGATGACTCAGTGATTAAGAGCACTAGCTTAGCTCTTCCAGAGGACCTGAATTTGGTTCCCAGCACCCATATGGCAGCTAACAATCATCCATAACTACAGTTATAGGGGAATCTGATGCCCTCTGCTGGTCTCTGTAGGCATTGCATGAATGGGTATACTTGTATACATACAGGCAAAACACTCATACACATAAAATAAATAAATCAAAAAAATTAAAAGTAAAAAAATAAACAGAACTAAGAAAAATGAGACACTGATTGATATGCACAAGAAAAGTAGGACTAGAATAACAACTTCTTAGAAATTAAAATTATGGTGCTAGAAAACAAAAACTGCAAAGCAGGGGGAGGCCAAAAACAAAGTCTGAAAGTTGCCCCGAAAGCACAGCAAAGAGGCCCTCAGGTGGGTGAGAGGCAGCAAGGCAGGAGTACCAGGATTCATGGATACTCTCAACTTGAGGATCTCGGCCATCACACTTTCATCTAGAAGGATCATGGGGACCGCTTAGTTCAGATCTCAAATATTTCCCCAAAGTGTGTGTGTTGAAGGCTTGGTCCCCAGAGCAGTACCTTTCAGAGATAACTGGATCATGAGGATGAGGGCTCTGACCTTGACCTCACCAATGGATTAATCCATTGCAGGATTTAGAATTTCATAGGCTATTGGGAGGGGATAGCAAATTTGGGACAGGCAGCCTACTGGGATGAAGTCAGTTAATGGGGGCATGTTCTTGAAAGGGATCTTCTGTCCCTGGCCCCTTCCCTTTCCTTACCCTCTGTGCTTCCATCTGCCATGATGTGAGCAGTTCTGCTCCATCACACACTGCCTGCCATGCTGCTCTGCCTTACTATAGGCCCAAAACAGAGTCAACCAACCATGGGCTGAGACCATGAGACAAAATAAACCTTTCCTCCTTTGAAGTTGTTTATCTTAGGTATTTGTCATAGCAACAGAAAGCTGACTAACCTAGATACTTCTTTGATAAACATAAGAAAAAAGAAAAGACTTACTTAGCAAGGAAAGGAAAAAATACAGTTCTTGTATATATATTCATTTATTTATGAGACAGAGTCGCTAGCCCAGGCTAACCTCAAACTTCCTTTGTAGACAAGGACAACCTTGAATTTCTGGTCCTAGTTCTACCTCTCAAATGCTAGGATTACAGGCATGTGCTACCAAGCTCAGTTTATACCTTGCTGGGGATCAAACCCAGGGCTTCATGCACTTTAAGCACTCGTCCAACTGAGTTACAACCCCAGCCTCTAAAGGTGTGATTTTAAAAGCCCAAAGATCAAGGAGGAAAAGTTGAAACCCAAGAAATATATTTTTCTTCAGACACTGATACATGACAAGATCTGAAATGCCAGTCAGCAATCTGAGGTACCCGAGTTCATTTTTGCTTCAGTGTCTGGGGACAAGTCCTGCAAACCCAGGGCAAGAAGGACCTGGGCTGTGGTACCCATCAGACAGCTCTACTCCAGAAAACCTCACCCTGACATGGGTAGCCTCTACTACCTCTAAGCCATAGCAACACACAGCCATTTCTCTGCAATGTGACAATCACTGTGCAGAGTTCAAGAGGTAACATCAGCAAGAAAAGGCCAACATATAAGATTCTAACCAAGGGGCTGACAAGATGGATCAGCGGGTAAGCAGGCACTTGCCACCAAGCCTGATGACTTGAGTTTGATCCCCAGGACTCACATGGTGAAAAGAGAGAACCAACTCCCACAAGATATCCTCTGGCAGGGGGAAAGACTAAATAAATGAATAACATTTTTTTTTTTAAAGAAAAGCTCTAGTCAATGCCATCGCTGCCTGTGCCCTGCACCTTCCCATAGACTCTGGTCCCTGTTCCCTCACCATCCTCTAACCACAGCTCAGCTTCCCTCCTCTCAGCTGCTTTTAAGCCCTTCTCACAGATGAGCTTCTTCATTCATGCCACCCCAGAGGAACTGAGCAACTGTGATGCCCTGCCCTGCCCTGCCCTTGAAGATGAGGAAAACGCCCTGCGCTGCCAGCATTCTTCCAGGAAGCCAACTGTGTCCTGCAGCTGCCACACGGGCAGGCAAGGGCCTCGCCCTATCTCTGCCCACACTCATTTCTATTTTTCTACATCATGTTTTTTTTAATATTTTTATACTTTTTTTATTTATTATTTTTATTTTATGTGTATGAGTATATCGCCTGCATGTATGTGAGTTGCACCCATGTCGTGCAATGCAGCAGAGGTCGGAAAAGGCCGTTGGATCCCCTGGAACTGGAGTTAAGGACAGTTCGTAGCCACCATGTGGGTACTGGGAATTGAACCCGGGTCCTCTGCAAGAGCAGTCAGTGCTCTTAACCGCTGAGTCATCTCTCCAGTCCCTTCTACATCATGTTTTAAGGATTCTTTCTCAGGGATCTTCCATCCATTCATTCATTCTCCACTCATCCAATAAGCATTCCCCAGGTCCTACTTTCCCCATGTCACCTCATTGATGGGAGATAGAGGGCTACCCTCCCTGGTCTGCAGGAGTCCCAGAGTTCTGGGTCCCTGGCAGAGGGCGTCCAAGCACTCAGAGTTGGATCAGGGATGACTCAATCCAGGCACCCAGGGTCTGGAGCTGACTGCCCATATGGCAAGCTTCTGCTCTACTCATACCCAGGCTCACCTTATCTATACCCTAAAACTGCTGCTTGGAAATACTTATAGTTCCCCAGTCTAAGACCCTTCTTCCTTGTAGTTTGGTCTGGTTCTCAGACTGCTTTTGTCCCTCCACCCCCGGGGTGCACAGCCAAGGGATCCTCTCTGTTGGGATGCTTATCTGGGGAGTACTGTTTGGGGTCTGTCCATTCGGGGGACACAAGGGCTCTGCTCCAATTCTCCCACAGTCCCTGAAGCAGCCCAGCAGAGCCTGCCTGGAGGCCAGTCCTCAAAACACCTTTCCTGATGAAAATTACAAAGGAAACTCACAATTATTAAGCCATTATTTGTCTTCTACAAATGGCCCATGCAAAACACCAGCTTTTTTGATGAACTGCAGCAGCAAGCCCGTTCACTTGTGGTTCCTAGCTGTTGATGTCCGTCCAATGTACATGCCATCTTATCTTTCACAATTTGACTCTCAATGCCTCTCCTTTATGCATTGCATAGGAAATATAGAATAGTAAAAAAGATCATTTTAATTTGGTCAGAAAAATGGGGTATTTTATAAAGAACAGGACTGAACAATCTCTCTGACCCCTGACAAGTGGAGAAGCAGCTCTGGGACTCATCTTAGGGAGCTGCTGTTCCTCTGCTGGCCACAAGGGGAAAACTTGCCCACTACCGGCTAGAAAGCCAGAGGACCCTCCACACTGTGACTTCCTTTTCCCTCCACAACCTGACTAGGACAGTGTCCCACACAAACACCGGGCCTGTGATCCTCATACCAGGAGGAAAAGGCCCAGTGAGTCATGTCTATCACACATGAGAAAAGAGAGGTGGGAAGCAAGAAAAAGAACAAAGCCAACTGGGTAAAGAATCCATTACAAGGACAGCAGAGGCCTGGGCTGCCAGCTTTCAAGGCCACTGTATTTTTATTGGTCTCACACTACTGGAAACTTGTCCATGTATAATTTTTCCATTGTATATTCTAAGAATATCACAGCCCATCTTGTCTAATCCTCCAGTTT